GTGTAATAGCCGCTTTGAGAGTTTTGCTCGAACTAGTATATCTTTAAGGATCTGCCCCTTTTGTATGGTACGATAGGGGGATCTTTGAATATTTCGCTAAGCAATAATCCTGTTTTTAGGAGGACATTTCACCAGAGTAGAGCTGTTAGAGGTCATAGGTCAGCGTGGTTTCCGATGCTATTCACGTGTAATTTCTAGGGTTTGACACTTGTGGAGTGTTTTGCTTGTTGTTTATGATATTGTGTGGTTTTGTTCAGGCAAAAGCTCTGAATTTAGAAATTCTTCCTATGATTCATCAAGCTCCACGTTGTGGTCGTCATTGCTTTTATTTTCGATGTTGTCAGGTTTCACTGCATGAAATGGCATGTATAAGGGGGTATAATGAACCCGTATACATAATGTGTACGGAGAAGTATAATGATGTATACTGAAGTATATGTATAAGGTCTGTATAATGATCAGTATACGTCTGTATCCTTATACTAATGTATACTGTCTTGTGGAGATTTCCTTATACCTAGTGTAAGGGAACATTATACGAGTTGGCAAAGTAAATTCAAGTTGATTGTTCTATTGCATCATAAATGAAGGAAATGAAGGTTCCGGTTGCTGAAAACAGAGCTGACTTGAAAAATATACCCTGTGGTGATGAGTGCTTCTTACGGAAGAACTTACTTGTAAAGGAAGCCTCAAGTCAGATAAACAGCTATAAAAGCAACTATTATTAGCGCGTCTTTTCGCTACTTTGCGGATTTCGTACAGGTATCATTAACGCATCTTAAGCATTCTGTAAATATATCAACAACGCAGCTTAACGCTTCTTATGCATTGCGTAAAGATATCCATAACGTATCTGTACGCTCCTTTACGCATTGCGCAAAGATATCAATAAGCTGCGTGAAATGAGTAATTACGTGGGATTTACGTGGCCGTGAAATTCCTCGACACTTGGCGTGTCCGAGATCAGAACGTGACGTGCCAAGAAACGTGACGTGTCGGAGAGTGCCATGTTCCGATCGTGATACGTCCGTTGCGGCGTGTCAGGGAAAATCATGGCTTTGGTATGTCATGTGCGGCGTATCAAGGTAAGCCAGGACTCTGATACTTAACGGCATGCGGTTTTAGTTTAATCGGCCAAATTAATTCACGGAGCTTATTTCTCTTTACGCGAAAACTAAACTTTTTGGACGTGTGTTTCGTTGTTCGTCTCAGGATGTTCAAGTCAACAAATCGCGAAGATCTATACTTAACTTACATCGTTCTGTTAATGCCATCGAGTGTATTCTGTTCAGAATCTTGCGTGGAGGCATAAGACTTAAAATTCATACCAATCTTCAGTATAGCTCTTTTGACTCACGTTATGCACAGTTCTATTTCCTACAGGTGTTTACACTTCCGACTACTATTTTATATTCTAGTATTTACAATCTACCTATAGCAGGGCTCTTTTCGAATACCAGCCCGGCCACTGAATGTGAAACCCTTGTTTAAATAAAGTGCTAAAAAAAAAAAAAAAAAGCAACGGAACATACTTTACATCTCACCGACCTATGTGGTGGCGCAACTAACCAATTTCGCAAAGCTTGAGAGCGGAATGTCCTAAGATCGGTTGCATTGGAGGACTTGCACCGGGACGCCAAACCCATTTAACACTGCCGCGTATTTGATGCAAACCGTGGAACCCTCCTAGGAAGCCTCTGGCCGATCTTATGCTTGTACGGGTTAAATGTCGCAAAATCTATTTGTTTAGACCGACTAGTAGTGTTACATCATTGTGGTTACCGCTGTAAGTCCGAAAGCATCAGCACATGCGTAATCATGAAGAGTGCCTTCAACGAAATTTACCCACCAATATTTCTTCCAGTCGGGTTGTTAGTAAAATTTCTAAACTGAATTATATAAATTCGTTTTATGGAAAATTTCGTATACAAGAGAATTCGTTTCACTTAGTTTTGTCACGATCAGACCTTGCTCAGAGGCGCTAAGCTCGCTCTCAGAAAATTGCAAGACCATTTTTTTTTCTCGGCTGTTGTTTCTTCAAGCGTTCATCGCAAGGGGCAGAAAAACGAAATTCTCTCTCTCCGCTTTGACGATAATAAACGTATTCGAGTCTTAAATATGTTATTGTGGCGCCATAGAATCCTGGAGTATTCACGACGCACACAACACGTCACCACTGCGTGAAAGCCAAAATATTATATTCTAGAGTATTCTAGACTCGAATATGTGATTGTGACGCAGTAGAATCCTAGAGTATTCAAGCCGCACACAACACGTGACGTACACCTGGAACATTCGTGTCGAATATGGTAGAATACGCTTCGTTCATAATCGTTCGTGGATTCTCGTTAGAGTATACCACACATCTGTCGTACTCCTAGAGTATGATGGCGAACCCTTTGTAAAAAGAATTTTATAAAAGAAGGTAACAGTTCGGGAGCATAGCATTCTCCTGGAAGCAAAATTTAGACTATGAATTCAAAGTATGTGCGATCTGCGCGTGTATACGTTTATCTTCGAATACGTGATCTTGACGCCAAAGCTATAGAATTCTATGGCATGTACAACCGTGACGTGGACATGGAAAATTCTTATCGAATATGGGCATACGACAGGAGCACGACCGTGTATTCGTTCGTTGACCAGAACAATTGTACTTTTTGGGTTCATGTTGTCGTCGCAGCGCATGTGTTTTGCTTGTGTCAAGAAATTTACACACTTTATTGTAACTTCGAATTCCCCTCATTCGGTTTTGACCGACGTTTTCGGGATAATCACTACAAAGCGATTTCTCTTTGTATGACCCGTTCCGTCTGAAGTGGTTAAGTGCTGCACAGCACGAAATCACAAATTGGACACTACGGGATACGTAAAGTTCTGCAAAGTTAAACTGACTAGAGACGCATAAAGCTGCGCAAAGCTTGGTTAGTAAGAGGAATCAAGTTCGTTTCGGAGAAGTTTTGGTGTTTTCAGCGGAGAAAGTCGTGAGACCTTCAGACAAATATCTTTTCTCTGTGGGATGAGTTTAACTCCGGAGCCCGCAGGGCAAAGAACA